AGTAACAAATCAGTTTTCCTCACAACAGTGAGGCTTAAGCTGTCTCTGATTTGTAAAGACCACCGATTGATGAAGTTATAAACATTAATCAACTGAGATAACTTGGACATATACTACAGATGACGAGCCACTACCTATCTAAACGTCACTAGTTGATGAAGTCTCTTTACTGGTGGTCTGAGGCGTGTTAGGAGATGTAGACTGCCTAATTGGGGTCCCTGAGATGAGCGGAATCAATGGTTGAGCACTCTTAGTGACATGACTGCAAATCGGCCACAATTGCACAGATGTATTCAATCCTTGACATCTTCTAAAACTTGAATATTTTCACTGACTGTTATCTTTAAATTGTTTATTCTCTTGCACAGCTTTGTCTACTTTTTTATATCACTCTTATTCTATCAACTTGTTGCTTGTACACCATTATGAATTGTGTCAACTTGAACCGATATACCTGTGTGTCATGTCCTGCGTTAATTTTGTCGGTTACTTAGTCATCTTAATTAAAAGTTTGGAACCTAATGAAGCAGAAGTAGGTAACCTCTGCGAATCTCAGAAACTCACTTTTTTTACTTCTCTCTTTTCTTCCATTCAATTATTGTTAGTTTATTAATTTGCTTATTCCATCCGGTTTTTATCTTCGTAATTCATTACCAACTTTCTCAAGACCTTCCGTGATCTTCATTCATAATTCTAGAAAAATATACTTTTGATTCTTCGATCTGTTGCTTCTAAGTCTACACAGCAGCGAAGTATAACTAAATGTAAAAAGGAGTAGACAGAAATGTATAAGTGACTGTTAACGCTATTTGCAATTGTTAGCGTCCCTTAACTGACGAACATGAGAAAATATATGACCTTGCATATAAACTACTTCATGTATTTCCAGCCATCTACAACAAGGAGGAAAGACAACATACTTGCACCAATATTACTGTTTTTATTCATTCTAGGATCTTATCAGGTGGTATATTGTTGTCTGCGCAACATGTTAACATATAGCTGATGACTGGATTCAAAAAAAGACATGAGTCTGAGTCGAATGCGAAGCTTCACTTCCTTAACAATCGCCTTGATGCTGGAATTGATTAACAATCAGACATGAATTCTGAACGGTTTTCGATTCACTTCTGGCTTTGACAAGAATCAGAGACACATGTTTCCTTATATCCCATACGTTCGTTGCCGGTCTAAATCAGCCAGCGTGAAATCGTAAAAGTAGTATTCGAAAAGAAAACAGTTCAGTGAATATTTTTTGTCGTTATGTTATTCCTGCATGGTTTCATTAGAGTGCTAATTAATCCGCATAGTAGTATTGGCACCAGTCTCAATAAATTCCCCACTAATTACATGGTATAAGTCTTACCAGGCACCCATTTCATTTCAGTTAAAAGTTCTACTTGACAAAGACAGAAAGGTAATCCAACCTCGAGCCCTGTACAAAAGTCCATCATATCAAGTTACCACACTACATTAAACCTTACAATGAAGAAGCGGATAGAAAAATAATGATATACAAGTAGATAAAGGTATATGATAGTAAACAGGATACGTAAAGTTAACAAATTGTATGAAGTTTCATGAGTGATAGAGTCATATCATCAAGAGTCTCTTGTCATTGATTCCGATCATCTTGAGAACTTTATAGAGCAGTTTAAATCTCCCCAATTCCTGTATCTGCTTTGATACTGTCTTTATCTATCCATTAGTTCTCTACATGCTGCTGTTAGGCGTAGCAAATTGAATCAACACATTTCTATATGCGGTTGTACCTTAATTTAACTTGTCTGCCTTCGAGACCAATAGCCATAAGCTTCTAGGATTGATCCTATGTTTTGGTCTGATCACTCTTGGCTTTGTCAAGCTGTGATATTCCTTCTGATAGCATCATCTTTTGAAATTGACAATGAGTTGGCAAGCGTAAAATAAATCCAAGTTGAATCATTTCGTGAACGTTTACAACTTCATTCGCTACCTGATCTTCATCGCTTAATATTCCACAGATAGTTTTTGAATTACTTACATGATGTCTCAATCACATGCGAGCAATACTAATGTGACACCTGTTACTTCTGACAATAATCTAGCGTGATATAGTGTGCTTCCACGCACGATACATGTCCTGTGATAGGTAGTAGGATATTTCACTAGCACTAGAGATAACGTAAGTTGACAAATAACAGCCTACGTTTTATATCTTACATGGATTTTGGTCAACGATCAACCTTTTCGTGCTTGTACAACTGAAGAATTTAATGTAACCCATCGCTTCACTTAGGGTCGGCATGAGTGACACATGCCAAAACCATCTCAGGCGATGAAGGTCCACGACTCCATCAATCGACTTGCCTATCTTGCCTGGTATTCTTCCCTTAACCTCAACATTGTTCACACAGTGATTCCACCAAACGTGACCATTGCTACGAAGACATCTGTGATAAAAATCCTGCAATCGCCTTAAGACTTCTACTTTCAACAGCCATGTCTCATAGCCGTTCAAAAGGAAAAAGCGAACTGCAGCGCAGTATATTCGCTCATTGATAGTTAGTCAGATATCTCTAGAGTCAGAGACACAGATGACGTAAGTTGGCAAGCGCCAAACGGACCTTCTGTATCTGAGATGAAATTTCGTCACCAACCAACCTGTTCAAGATAATTCAACACCACAAGCAAGTTAAGTGGTTGACACATTCCACGACATCACTATCTACCATCAAACTGTATGCCTCACGCTCTCAAACTTCTGCTCAACCATTTCAGAAGACCCTGCATTTTCTCAGTGTCTTCACCCAGCAGGACAATATCGTCTTCCAGAGAGTTGATTTATATGTATGTTAATTTATATGTCCGCATCAAACCAAAACTGGGTTAAAATCTACGACCGGAACAGACTGGATTCAGGAAGTAAAAATCATATGCCAACCAAATTGCAGCGCTTCTCATCACTGTAGATCAGAGTATAGAATGGCAGTCAACTCTACACCTCAACTACGTCGACTTTGAAAAAGCTTTCGACAGCGTCGATCGATAAGTCATTTGCCAGGCAGCTGCTTCAACACTACGGTTTTAGTGACACAAACCTATATCAATCTCATCCAACAACTACATGAAGATGCCACATGCAAAGTAATTCACAATGGGAAGCTCAGTGATGACTTCGAAGGGAAGACAGGAGACAGGAGTGAAACAAGGCTGCCAAATACTATCACCCATCATATTCCTGATTGTAGTCGACTGCAATGGACTGGATCATGCAGCAAACAGTGAGGAGCTGTGAGAAGAGGGGGATATGCTGGACCGCAGAAAAGAACCTAGAAGATTTAGATTTCGCCACCGATGAGTTATGTCTAATGTCACACAAACTTGAAGATGTACAGACGAGAACTAACAAGTTAACAGTAGAGGCTGGGCCAGGCTTTGCAGGGCACGGCAGCCAAGACGGGTCTTCAAGTGAACGTAGAGAAGACAGACGTAGATGTGATGAAGATACCCAACTAACACCACCACTACCACCAACAACAACAACCATCTCAAATCACCATCAATGGGAGAAACTTGAAGGAAGTAGCCTCTTTCACCTACACCCATATAGGCAGGCAGCACTGTTTCAACTACAGGTGGCACAGGCGAGGATGTCAAAGTCAGAATCGGAAAAGCAAGACAGGCGTTCATTAGCCTGAAACCAGTGTGGAGATCGACTGCACTACACTGCACTCAGCATAAAGCGTCAACAACATCCGGATACGGATTCTCAACACCAACGTCAGTCAAGTCAGTGCTTGTATGTGATGGTTGAGAGACTTGGCGGGTCGCGAAAGGGATATCCAACAAACTACAGACATTCATGAACAATTGTCACCTACGCTGACTCCTTACTGAATCTTAGATGAGATGGCCAGAATACTAAGAATGAGGAAGAAGGAACTGTGGCTGGCAGGCTGGCTGGCTGGCTGGCTGGCTGGCTGGCTGGCTGGCTGGCTGGCTGGCTGGCTGGCTGGCTGGCTGGCTGGCTGGCTGGCTGGCTGGCTGGCTGGCTGGCTGGCTGGCTGGCTGGCTGGCTGGCTGGCTGGCTGGCTGGCTGGCTGGCTGGCTGGCTGGCTGGCTGGCTGGCTGGCTGGCTGGCTGGCTGGCTGGCTGGCTGGCTGGCTGGCTGGCTGGCTGGCAACGAACCAAGGAAGCAAGAATCTATCGCTGAACAAATATGCACTGGAAGGAAGTGGAAGTGGAAGTGGAGATGGATTAGGCATACAGTGAGAAGGCCGACTGGGGACATCAGGCACCATGCCAGGATATCGAGTGGAAGCCAGATGCGAAACGACGAGTTTTGTGTGGGAGTTGAGTGTGACATGGAGGAGATGGTATGAGGAAGAAATGACAGGTTATGGGTAGTCGAGGTGACAGGTTTAAAAGATTTCAGAGAAGATAGTTCAGTGGAGATGTGCTACTGACGCCGTATGTTCCATTAATAACCCAAGGGGAAAAGACTTTGCAGTATTCCTTCTATCTGCATAACACTGAACCGAAAGGGAACGTGACTTAATCTATATTGATATATGTTATTCCTTATAAATAAGTCATGTAGTAATATCAATCTTAATAATACGGTCGCATTCTTTATATATGCCACCTCAACATTACCCATATCATTATTCGTTTTCACTAAGTTTTAAATTCACTTTTAAATGGGTGAAATTACATCGAACCGGGGATGTTAGTAGCATCATCAATTTTAAAAGCTTAGGTGTCACCAAGGATATAACAGTTTCCTGTTGGATCCAAATGCATGCCAATCAGTGTGAAATTCAGATGGAGCAGGGCGTCTTGTCGGTTGTTGCCTGATATGTATTACATATATTTATTTATGGTATAAATAATGTCAACAATTTAGCAGCATTACTCATGGTAGTTAATAAAACATTATATATTTCAAAAATGTTTTTTAAAAATGCAAACTTTCAGTTAAAAGAATTTATCTTTTGTTATAATTTCTTATCTAACAGAAAATTACACTACGTTCGGTTGGACAATTGATTGAAAATTTAGTCGGTGGAGGTTATCAACACTCATATTGTATTAAACCTGCAACTGCAGACATGATTGGATCACCGAATCATGGTAATGGTTGGCTACCGAATGTCAGTGTTGCCTTTACTAATAAGAACACTGTGATAACTAATGTAAGTCATTACCCCACCCATAAAGTATATATATATATATATATATATATATATATATATATATATATATATAATAGGAAAGAAAAACCACCTAATGATGGATCGTGGCTAGCGGTGGAACTCAGGATGCGCATTTCGTCCTGTTTGGGACTCACTGGTCAGCTGGATGTACCTGCTTCCCACTGAGTGTTGTTCGCAGCGGGATTCCGACTCTGGAGTGATCGCTTCAATTGCTGGGGCGTTATCCACTACACCACCGAGCCACGATAGCCACTTCTTGTGCGACGGGTATAGTTCTTAGTATAATGGTTTTTATATGATGCCGTCGTTGATTGGACCGAATTGATCGGTCTCTATTAGCATCATGGATTCCACTGCTAGCCACGATCTATCATTAACATAATTAGATTCCTGGCAATATCGAGGCATCCTCACAGGAGCCCATATGCTAATAGAGACCGATCAATTCTGTCGAATCAACAACGGTATCATATAAAAATAATCATACTAATAAAAATCACTTCCTGAGCTTTGTGGAAGTGGATTATTGACAGTTTGTACTTAGTGAACCTGAAAATCCTTATTCCAATTAAATTAATGCTGATGATGAGTTGTAATCTATGGGTGAAACAATTTTCAGCTATCCCATAGGTTTTCAGAAATTTCAAAAAAAATAATATCATTCAGCATTTTCTAAGTTCAAAAAGTATTTGTTATGTTTGCAATAGTATGATAAAGAGTATCTTTAACTCAGTCATGGTATTCACTCAATGTTTACCTGGTCAACAATCATTTCTAGTTGATCGTGTGTTTGTTACTATGATCTCTTGTTTTTTTTTTCTCTCTCTCACACACACACACACTCTCTGATGTATATGTAACATCACAATAGCACCTTCATTTGCATAAACATCAGTTGGTTATTAAGCGTCATGACATTTTATCGCTCATATCGATGCACGTGGATAACAACTATGGAGATGAATTCAATTTCGAAAATGTAGAAATCTTGAACAGATGACATAGTCCTGTTAGGTGAAGACGCTGACTGATGAGATGCAGAGTCTTCTGAACACTTTGAGTGGGAATTTGAGAATGTTTGGGATGCAGTTCTCACCACCTAAATTCAAATTTTTGCTCCAGGACTACTCTCCAACGGTGCTGCGGCTAACAACAGAGAGTGAAGTGGTTGAGTGTGTCGACCACTTCACTTACCTGAGAAGTAGGATCAACCCTGGTGGGTTGGTTGCGGTTGAAATCTCTGCACGAATACAAAGGGCTCAATTGGCTTTTGCCAATTTACGCCATCTATGATGCCGCCGTGATTTCCGTTTGTCTATTAAGGGTCACGTGTACTTCACAGCAGTCCTCTGTTCTAGTGTGTGGCTGTGAAACACTGGTCATTGAAGGTGGAAGACATGAGAAGGGTTGAAGTGTGTGACCATGGTGTCACCATGTGAGTAATGCAGAAGTCAGGTGTAGAGTTTTAGGGAGAAGAGGTAAGTTAGTTGACGAGGTTATGAACCTTCATCGATTGAGATGGTTGGGACACGTACTACGTATGCCCATTCACCGATTGCCTCGTCACACAATGTTGGGTGAAGTAGGTCCAGACTGGAAAAAGATCCAAGGTGGCCAGACTAAAACATGGCAACAATGTATGAGGTGTTTGACTGTTGGTTTGAGCCCTGTGGGGGATGCAGACTGGGTGGTTGGGGTCCACGGGACAAGAGGAACCATTGGTTGGAGACTGACTCTGGGTAATATGGCTGAGAACCGACGTCAGTGGCGCAGATGTATACACACACACATATTACCGTCATCTTAACTACTTTATACCGAATCTCACCATTTTGTCATTCCTCTTTTCTTTCTTCTCGTACTTTATATTTCTTTTGACAGGATTCTTTTATCTTCATCCTTCACCTCACTACCTTTCTACTTGATGTACTGATATGAGGTGTGGCAACTCGGAGGGTTACGCAGTAATGCCTGGTCCTATGTTGATATTGATTTGAACAGAGGAAACATAATGAATGTCATAGAATTCTTAGAAACTTGACATACAAGTTAGTCATCAACCAATAGATGCATAGACATAGATCTAATCTATCAACCTGTAAAAGAGTTGGCAAACAACTTTATGATCAGAGGTCAGAGAGAGAAACAGCCAACAGTTAAATTTATGCAGTCAATTTCACAATAACCAACAAACCACTTCGTCAGAGCAAGCTACCAAATCATTCATGGAGAAATCATGAATGGTTACTGCATGTTGAAAGTAGTACTGATTATGTTGTGTCTAGAAAGACAATGAAGACTTCAAGATTAAACTACTCAACTCAGAGAACGCAATAGAACCAAGAGATTCACGCATACATTTGTTAATTTTAGTCTTCCATGTAGTTATTTTAGCGCCATAAAGCTACTGAAATGCGGGAAAGCAGCAGGACCATATGGAATCCCGCCAGAAGCACTGAGAACAGACGCAGAGACAACAGTGGACATGCTCACATCACTATTGCAGAAGGTCTGGAAGGAAGTAAAGGTACCCGGCGGTTGGAAGAAGGGCTACCTTGTCAAACTCCCGAGGAAGGGCGACCTAAGTCTCTGCAAGAACTGGCACGGAATCACGCTCATGTCCACCCACCCGAAGCAAAATATTAAGCTGCATCATCCTGGAGAGACTAAACGATGCACTGGATTGAAAACTACGACCGGAACAGGCTGGCTTCAGGGACAAATACTAAATAATAATAATGTAATTTTTTAATTATTACTTATTTCTGAAATTATTCAGTGTGTAACAACCTTTTCTTTCTATCAACCTCTGATTCTTCTGTATACTCCTTCTCAAAAATACATATCACTTTATCTGTGGTTTAGTCATAAAGGAGCTGAGGAGTATTGGATTGCCCAATTTACGATACCTATGAAGCACTGACATATTGTGATCAAAACAGGCTGATTATGGCAGTAGCATCAACATACTCATCGGTATTCAGATGAGTTTATGTTTCGACTGTTTCTTAACTGATATGATTAAAGTAACTGAGTGGGTTGTCAAAAGATGACTCACGAATCATCAAAATATAATCCTGAATGAAGTCGGTCAACGAATAGCATCAACACAGAACATTTTTCAACCTTATTAGGAAATGTACATACTACAAACAGCGGGTTGAGATCATCATTATCATCTTCCATACTTTTTCTATCTACGATTATATAGAATGTTCATGATAAGAATCCATTGTGCTTACAACAGTGCTCAAAAATGTTTTATCAATCAGTACCTTGGGTTCCTAATGGAACATACGGCGTCAGTAGCACATCTCCACTGAACTATCTTCTCTGAAATCTTTTAAACCTGTCACCTCGACTACCCACAACCTGTCATTTCTTCCTCATACCATCTCCTCCATGTCACACTCAACTCCCACACAAAACTCGTCGTTTCGCATCTGGCTTCCACTCGATATCCTGGCATGGTGCCTGATGTCCCCAGTCGGCCTTCTCACTGTATGCCTAATCCATCTCCACTTCCACTTCCACTTCCTTCCAGTGCATATTTGTTCAGCGATAGATTCTTGCTTCGTTGGTTCATCGCCAGCCAGCTAGAGTTCCTTGTTCCTTTTTATTTCTGGCCATCTGATCTTCAGTACCTCACAATTATTTTGAATATTCTTAGGCATACAATTCATACTGAAAATAAAATTCCGAATTTGTAGAAGTTGACTATTTTAAAATTAGAAAAATATTTGAAGATAACTTACCTCTTTAAACAATTCAGATGATATTTCTATAAGGCGTTACTGAAAGCAGCCAGTAAAACATTTTTATCCAAATTCCTTGGTTGTGAAATCATAACAGTAGTGAATAACTATAGCGCCTCCTAGTTTGAATTGGCCTGTTTTCTAAATATTTTTATCAAATTCTTAATCCAATATCAAAACTTAGAGATTTTAATAGTTCAAGTATTTGTCTTCAAAATCATAAAGTCTAATTTTTTGCAGGGAGAAACTTAAAGGAAGTAGCCTCTTTCACCTACACCTATATAGGCAGGCAGCACTGTTTCAACTACAGGCACAGGCATAGGCACAGACGAGGATGTCAAAGTCAGAATCGGAAAAGCAAGCCAGGCTTTCAATAGCCTGAAACCAGTGTAGAGAACTTCTGCACTGCACTCAGCATAAAGCGGGAACAACATCCGGATACCGATACGGATTTTCAACAGTAATGTCAGTCAAGTCAGTGCTTGTATGTGATGGTTGAGAGACCTGGTGCCTTACGAAAGGGATATCCAACAAACTACATACATTCATGAATAACTAACTGCCTACTCTGGCTCGTTACTGAATCTCAGATGAAATGGCCAGAATAATAAGAATGAGCAAGAAGGAAGTGTGGCTGACTGGTTGGTTGGCTGGCAACGAACCAACGAAGCGAGAAGCTATCGCTGAACAAATATGCACTGGAAGGAAGTGGAAGTGGAATTGGAGATGGATTGGGCATACACCGAGAAAGCCATTCGGAGACATCACGCATCAGACCAGGTACTGGAGTGGAATCCAGATGGGAAGCGATGAGTTTGGCGTTGGAGGTGAGGGTGATATGGAGGAGATGGTGTGAGGACGAAATGAGAGCTTGTTGGCTGCCGTGGAACCAGGTTGAAAAGGTCTCAGAGAAGAGAATGAAATGGAGACTTGCAGCTTAAGCATTATGTTCCATTAGAAATCCAAGGGACAAATAATAATATTGATTTTTTGTAGATATTTTTCAACTCTACTCAAAATTTCTGATGTTAAATATCAGAAAGCAGAAAACCACTGTACCACCTAGGACTCCTAATATCTAATAGAACGATCCATCTACAGTCTCAGATAAACTTATGAATCTATTTCATCTACTGCTGTTGTCAAAGACTTCAGTCAATCGATTTTACTTACTGTTGGAACCCCTATACTGATTAGTTATAAACACGAAATTTCCATAGGATG